CCCCGGCTCGGGACCGCCGGGGCCAGCCGGGAGGATCCCTCCCCCTCCCGGTCACTTGGGCGCTAGTCATCCGCCGCCTCTCCACTCTGGAAAATTCCTGCCATCGGCCATTAACCTACATCCACACCACAGTAAGTAAAAAAAATATATTGTGTTATTACTTTTCACCCTTTACGACCAACCGCTGTTTGTCAAAGGGCTGCGCAAAAAAATGCGTTTAGTTTGTGTGCGGTCATCATTTTGATGTGGTTCAGTTGTGGAAACGAACCGAGTTGTGGGGCAGGACACAGAGAGAGGGGGTTATTTTTAATGCCACTGATTTTTTTTTTATTCCTTCAAAAACAGAAATGGATTTATTCCAGTCTGGATCCTGATGAAGAAATTCATCATTTTGATGTGGTTCAGTTGTGGAAACGAACCGAGTTGTGTGTAGGGAGGAGTGGCCGCTGTGTTAAAACGCTGACAAGTTTCAAATGTTAAAGTGTGACATCTTTAAAACGACGCTCAGCTTTAGAATTTATCCCCAGTGGAAAGCGATTTGTCAGTTTCCACCGGAGAGTTCTGATTACCGGACACTGCTGCTGCTGCTGCTGCTGCTGCTGCGACAGTGTGCAGGTCAGGGTGCAATGGTTTTGGATTGCATGTGGACCATTACACCGCCACTGCTGCTCTGGTAGCAGATGCAGGTTGTGTGCGTTTGTTTGACAGAGAGCGGGGGTGGTGACGGTGATGGTGATGGTGTGTGACCCTATAGATGGATGACAGACCGATTCTTACCCCATCAGGGGTATTATTGGTTGGGTGGGTGTTTGTACAGTGGAGGATGGTCGTGGTTCAGTCTCCAGTTTCTGTGGAGTAAATGCTGTTCTACTGGAACGGAAGGCAAGTGGCTGGTGTTGACTCTAATGAACACCCCCACTGCTGCCTTGGTAGCACCAGGGGAATCATTGTGATGTAAATGGCTTCTGTTTGTGCATATTTGTGTGAGAGAGTGTTTTAAAATATTGTTTTTGGTTAAAAATCAATTATTTTTTTAAGACGCTCTCAATAAAAAAGGGTGTGGCGTTAAGAACTGTTGTTTAAAAAAACATGTTTGTTTACATCACTACCTACTCTCTCTGTCTCTCTCTCTCTCTGTGAGTGTGAGTGTGTGTGTGTGAGTCTGCGTACTGATCACATTACCCTGACTGCAGTCCACAGACCATCTCCAACCGTATATGTTATTCCCTGCTGAGCCAGTGATTTTCCCTTCAGTTTACTGCCTGCTCAGTGATCTCTGTTCCCACTATTAGTAATGGAAACCTTGAAATAACACTGTGTTTGAAGAGATAAGAGGAAAGGAATGTGTGGATGCAGTTTTGTGGTCAGTCAGAGGGAGAAAGCCACAGCATTTTTGTCAGGGTTCAAACCATATACAGTATATTGGTTTTTTTTATCTGTCATTTTATCCGTAAAATGGAAAGTCTAACAAGACTGTCACTGAGGTGCGGTACTTCAATCTCACGTCCATTCCCCTAAAGAAATGTAGCTGCACTAATAACACAGCAGCTCTCAGTGGCTCTAAAAGAACAGTCCTCTATCACAGAGCATGGATTCAGAGTAATACTTATCATTTGGAGCCTGGAGTACGAGTAGACTTGTAAAGTGTGCTAGAACTGGGGCTCTGACGAAGAGCTAATTTGACATACCTGTAGTGCCGACTCTTTTAGCTCATAAGAAGCTGTCAGTGATATTAAAAAAAAAAAGAACTCGCAGCGGGAGGAGGCTTTAGGAAAATTGATGGATGTGTGATGGATTAGGTTTGTCAGAGTGTAGTTTGTAGCAGCTCAGCAATCTGATTGGTGCTTTTCAAATTACATTAATGGGGCCGCGATCAAAGCTGTGGGTTAACTGTGCCGTGCAAACAGCATTTGTTGGTAAAAACGTCTCGTCTTTGCAGCAGCAGCAGCAGCGAGTGAGTGAGCCGGGATGATATTCCCCACTCTCCCCTCCTGTGGCTCTGAAACGAGCTGAAAACTGCTTGTGGTGTGTGCAGACGTGCTTGTGTGGAACAACTCGATATGAGCTACTGGGGCGGCTGCTGGAAAAGGAATTGACCCGACCACCGTTCCAGCCCAGATTGTGGGTTAAAACACTCCTTTAAAACAGGACGTATTTTATTCTGCCCACACAGTGACCTTCTCACTCTCTGACTCTTCATCTTCCCTCCACACGTTCACCGCCTCCACCCACTGAAACGCCACTGTACGACACAGGTCATTTAGCTTTATGGCGGTCCTCAATATCAAATTCCTACACATAACATTCACCGAATCAGAGTGCGGGCTCAATCCCATGATTGTAATAACACTGGACAACCGTGCTACATGATAATTACTCAGCAACTGCAAACGTTCATAATGTTCCCATTTAATTCCACTAAGCAGCGTGTTCTCAGCTCTCTCTCTCTCAGAGCCAGTTTGCAGTCCAGGCAGCCAAGACCGCCCTGCTTTTCTTTTTGTTGACATGTGCTCAAAAAGGCAAAAACAAGACAATGTTTGCACTGTTGTGGTTGGCTGAGCTCTTGATAGCAGGGTTAAATGTTAATAGCTGCCAACACTCTCTCATTTCCCAGGGGGCTCACTGGTTTTCTGCTTTACTTTAGTTTTAATTAGATTTCTACCTGACTAAAACGGAGGAAAAAGGTCTGGCACGTCCCCGCACTTCACAGAGGTGTGTGGGAGGCAGATTAACATGTGTTTTTAATGTAACGTTGTATCTGCGAGTAGGTTGTTGACACCCGTGCTGTTGTGCTGTCAGAAACCCTGGCCTACATAAAAAGGGAACACTCCTCTGTCATCGAATGCTGTTTGTCATCACAGGGCGTTCAGGGATGTTTACATGATAAAATCTTAGTCACTGGTTAAAGATGTAAAATGGCTGTAAATGGTCTCCTTGTCGACTGGAGGTCTGCCGGTGCCTCATCACCAGATTTGAGGCCATCTGTCCTCTTTTCTCTCTCTCTCTTTCTCCCCCACTCTCTCATGCTCTCTCTTTCACTCTACAACACACACACAAGCATCGGAGGTGGAATCCACAGAGGAAGCAGCAGCCGCCGTTATTTTTAAGAATGAAACTTATGTTATATTTAAGGTTATAATGGATGACGTTTTTGGGATTTTGTTTTTTTTTTAAAGCATGTAGCAGTATATGGGATATGTACTATTCTAAATAATATCTGCTGTTTTATTTCCTTTTTTTTTTTTCTACACTACCTCGTAGCAATCAAGCTGTAGTTGGAAGTGAAGCTCTGAAAAGGAGAAGATCTGCTCTGCTGGTTTTACAATCGACTCCATACAGTCCTGTTTAGGGAGTGTGTGTACATTCAAGTGTTACGTAACCAACCTGTAATAGTTATGCAACCGGAGTTTACGTGTTGCTGCCAATGGCTGGTAAACCCTTTTTGAAGTACAGTCCGTCTCACTGGCTAATGTTATTGTCAGTTTTATTTATCTTAAGGAAAACAACTCACCAGTATTTTTTTGTATTTTGATCAAAAGATCAGGTCTTATAAATATGGACCAGCCTGTAGGTTGAATTACTGTTGTGCTCTGTCCTTTATGTGTTGATGTTGATAACAGTTACTGTACGCAGGAGCAGGTACAGGTTTAATGAGGGAAAGGGTGAAACACATTTTTACAAGTATTTCAGTTAAAAGTGCTAATAAGATGTCAGAGTCAACCCTAGTTGTTGTGATAAGTGCAGAAAAGACGCTCCAGACAAATGGAGGAGGAGGAACAAACGTGTGTCGTCCCCGAGGTATAAGGCAGTGTTTTGCCTTTTTGAAAGGATAAAAGCCCAGGCTGTTGTTTGTGTCTTTATGAGACTCCCGGTGAAGTCGAGAGGATTGAGTTCTACTGTGTGGGAATAGGAGCATGTGATTGTGCTTAGTTCAGTTAGTGCTGGGGTTTCCCCCTGGGAGTCTGTGAGAGAAAGGAAGAGGTTTATCCTGACCACAACACATTCATACATGGTTAGATAAATGTGGTAGTCCTTCAGATGTAAAACACGCACGCACGCATGCATGCAAACACACACACGCAGACAGGCACAAGGGTGCAGGCATAATTCATGCAAGTGTGCAGTACAGGCCGGGGTTGTTTCACCCCACACCAATTTGTCTTTCACGCCGGTTGCTAACTGTGTCTGTTTACGTTAAAATTAATGTGGTGAGTGTGTGTGTGTTCCTTTTGTGTGTGCCCCCCCCCCTTTTCGGATTAATTGAATCTTTGAGGAGATAAAGCCGGCTTCTTTAAGAAAGAGCACAAGGCACCGCTGGCCTGCTACAATAAACCTGTCAGAGGCAGACTAATGACACGCACACACACACACACTGAACACACAGCTGTCAAACACAAGAGTGACAGACGTGTGTGTGTGTGTGCTGCGTGCGTGTGTGTGTGTAAGAGCATGCTGTGGCATGTTGAAATACCTAAAGCATTAGCTAAGCCCTTCTCTGTGCCAGAACCTTCCTTTAATTCAAACAACACCCTTTAACACACAAAGGTCACACACACACACACACACACTCTGAAGTGGTGTCTGTTGGTTTGGCTGCTCTGTTGAGTCTCTACGTGTCCCATTACATAATGTTTATAATGCTCCGTCCTGGAGACATTCTGAAATGAAAGGGACACAAAAAAGTAGGTGTGTGGTTTGAAGTGAGTCACATTTGACTTAAAAAAGTTTTTTGCCGTACTGTGTATTTGTCACAACGTCATTTGGTTTATATATGTATTTGAAATCATTCAAAAGGCTCAGAATTTAATATATTCTGTCTTTATTACATTTTAGAAAAGTGCATGGATTTTGGATTTGACAAACACTGAAGTTCATTGGCCAAGAAATACTTATTTGACTGTTACAAATTAGACAGAATGTCCAAAAGAGAACTGCAATAATGAGCTGAGCTCTCAGAAAACAAATGTCATTAAATTAGACATTGTTTTTCTTTTTTTATAACAGGCTGAACTCTGTGAACATGAGTGTGACATGTGACACCCCTTCCCACGATAAAACCCTCACCACCGTCCCAATTTATTATTGTCAGATATTCCATTTGAATTATGGTGCTTTTGAATATTTTTTTCCC